ATCTTTTTAAGGTGTTTGTGAACTTAGATATAGGGGTGTAGTCTTGGCTAGCCCAATTTTTTTAATTCCGCATTTGTTTCGGTTAGCCAGCGCAATTAAATTTAGAAATGACTATTCACTCTCCCTCTAATCCGCCATCTCGACCCTACAACCTTGCCCAGCAAATAGGTATCCCTCATCCTCTTCCTTATCATCTTCAAATATATCGTCCTCATCATCGTCTGTGATCGTCACAGTGCCATGAGATATTACAATTTGGGTAACAATAAAGGAAAGCAAATACTATAAAGAATGTTAAAAGTAGTGCAAATTACATGTGTCATCAAATAATGGTTGTGCAGTGTAGCTGATGCATTTTGATTTCTTAGTCCAGCATTTTCTGTCAATCACATAATGGCATGGTTGAGATAGAAATAAAGTTATTTCATGTCAAGGAACGGAGATAGTGAGACCTCATTATTTATCGTTGTTGGTCACGGTTGACTGAGGTAAGGGCGTATTTTCATCCGCGTGGTCTTCACCATTTGTGTAGAATAGGATATCGTTCAACAATAAATACATGATACAATATGTTAGTTTAATAATTCATTCACCAATATAATGTTTGAACTATATTTGAATATGAATTCTGACAAACTTCCTTTGCTAAAGGTGTAAACCTCGTTTTCTTTATGTTGTTCATTCTGTCATAAAAGCATACTCTCCATTTACACCTCGTTTCATTCTGTCATAAAAGCATACTCTCCATTAGTAGCGCAAGAATGAGTCAAGTCCAACAGTTTTTGGCGAATCCGTTGAAAAACAAACTCTTGGAGAATCTTGAACCCTTTGCTGATCATCGTCTCCCTTTAATGAACCACTTAGATCAAATTTGGCAGTTTGGAAGGGAGCATACCAGTGAAATGCTCATAATTATTTGCAATTGAGCAGGGGCCTTTTAGTAGCATACCCTCTCGTGCGGGGAACACCTGACAAAAATTGAGGGAGGAAACACATCAACAAACACGAGAAACTAACATATGTTTCTTTACTCAGCAGGGGCCTTGTGAATTATTTGTACAGGGGCACATGGTAGAAAATTGCAAATCAGCTATCCAAAATTGAGTAAACCTAGGTCCGTCCCTGCTCTCTTGGTTGGACGTAGTCCTTGGGGCACTCTAGTCTCCCTCCCTGCCATCTTTGTTGCAACCTGTTCGGCTGATCGTTTTTGCGGTTGATAAGTCGGCTGATGCTGATTTGTTGTGAGAAAAACATTGTACCATGGCTGATAAGCCGGGCTGATAAGTTCAAGCGAACAGGTTGAGATTGCTAGCTTTTGACACATGCATCTCACAGATGAAATGACCCAAAGCATTTACAATGCATAAAAGATGTCCATAAGAAATATGCAGGGAGTAATTTCTGGGAGCAATTAGAAAATTCAGGATAGCAAATAAGTACACTTTTTTTTGTTATGAATCTGCTCCTCCATGTCATTGTTCCCCTCACCCATCATAATCAGATCCTCTTTGTTAACAGCTCCATGTACCTGCACAACAATCACCAGTCTCAACTCCAAATACAAAATGTGATTTGGAAATGGAAAGCAAAAGATCATTCACACATAAAAAAAGAGACACAAGGATCTCTCCAAATTAGACCCAACATGGCTGACACTATATTCAAGTAAGCTCACACATTCCCTCACCAATCCCCTAAATTTCAGTGCTAAATATGATGGAAAAAAATGTCGCACTTTGCTATAGTGTCTGATACGTGGAACTGAAAGAAGCTTATTTGTATGCAAAAGAATCTCTACAGCAAACTGAAATAAATCAATATATCACTGCAGTTACGATGTGATTTCTAACCAAGCATAAACCTCAATTATTTTGACAGCTCTGAATTATAACTACAATCAGAATTTATATGAACAAAATGGAAACTTGAAGATACCGCCCTAACTTGAAATGAATATGCTTGATGAAGTGGCGCAAATAAGTAATCTGAAGCAAGACTGGCTAGGAAAGTCAAGGTCAGCAAAGACTCCAAACATGCCCTGTATCACTAACCATGTAAACACGTCAACCCCTCCTTTCTTCTGTCCTCACCATTTGAAAAATTATGCACCTCATGTGAGTTAAGAATTTCCTACTGTTTACAACAGTGTGCAGGGGAAAGGATATTTATGCTAGTGTCTTGTATATGGTGGAAAATTCTCAAACAACAAACTGCATCCTGATAAAAAATAGAACAAAAGTACAGAACACTTTCTAATATGTCATTTGTAGACCAATCTTTAATTAGAAAACAGTACTCAAGTTTGTACTAAAGAGGTACTTTGCAAATTTGTGAATAATAACTAAGGTATTGATGCACGGGCTCTGGAGCTTTGGTCTTGAGCAATAACCACTTTTGAGAGTGCTCCAATGCAAGCTTCTGAGACTTCTCTTCCTTGAGCAATCTGTTTCCAATCTTGAAAGGGGAACCAACTTTGTAGACCCAAATAGCTAATCCTAGACTCCTAGTCAAACAAAGAAGCCAGCAACTACCCTAGTCCGGGGAGCATGCATCATCCGCATCTGATTCACAGACTGACTCAAAATTTGCAAGCAATTTTATTTATTGAATTAAAGAGCTACTTTGCTAGCTGTCTGGGCTACTGATTGATAATTCATTGTTGGTATATCACAACACGGATATCCACATACTCATCGATCATCTCAGCCTCCCCATTGCCCTGTTATCTGAAATGTCAGTCTCCTGAAATAGGCAACAAAAATAGGATCAATATTAGACACATTCCAAACATCAGCTTGCCGCGGCACACGTGCCACCCGTCCGGTCACTGCGAAGATGCAGGTCAGCTTATAGTTGTTATAAACCCTAGACATTAAGATTTGCACACAACAGATTTATCCATGTTGAGCTTGATTGCAACATAATCTCGTGGGAACGACCAGGTTAGCCAATCTATGCTAACAATATTGCATCCCAGGTAGAAAAAATCAGAGAATCAGAGAAAAAAATAGCTAGTAGAAAATAGCAGATCCGACCAGTTCTAATCAGGCAACCTCAAGATCGCCTTTGGAATCCCCGTTGTCAATTCCAATCCGGCGAGACCTAGATTCAAAACTGGTATGGTGGCTGGGGATACAGATACTTCGCTGTCAACAAAGACTATATTGGTGTTTTGACAAGAAGAAGAATCCTGGGCTACAATATATAAGAGGGAAAAGGGGGGGAAAAGATAGAAACCTGAATTTGAACAGATCATGGACATCCCTGACCCAAGTCGATTCCGTTCTGCGTTCAGTTCAATTTTCCTCACCAACACAGAGCAACAGGAGCATAGGAGCTGAAGTCTTGATTCGACTCCAATTCCGATCCGAATCCGACTTGCTTGGCCAAAATTGTGCCTTGTGCCGAACGCGGCGAGCTGGGCGGGCATCGGCGCAAGAGCCGCCTGTGCATCGGCATCGATGCCGGAGTCGGACGCGGCGACGCGGCGCGCTGCAAGGAGCGCTGCGACAGCGGAGGAGGGCGCTCAGCGAGCATCCGCGCTCTGCGGCCGGCACCCGCGACGACGGCCGAGATGCAGTGGCTGTGCAGCTTCCCAACACGGAAGAGGCCGGAGATCGAACACGCCGGATGGAGATGGCCAGCTGGGCGAGGAGGATGCGGTGGCGCTCTCGGTTTGGGCGGCAAAGGTGGCAGGGCGGTAGAACGCGGCGACGGCAGAGCTTCTGCTCGGCCATCCATGGCGGCGGCGGATGCTCGGCCACCCATGGCAGCGGCGTGCGCGACGGCAGCAAGCGGCGGCGGCTTTTTCTTTTCCTTTTTTTGTAGAGGGAGACGGGACGGGATCACGGGGAGCGGGCGTGAGGGATGGATGGGACGAGGATGGAAGCCAGGGGAGCAGGCCGGCAGCCAAGGAATGTAGCGGGAGCGAGTGGGCCGACAATTAGGCCTAGATTGAATGGGCGGGACGAAAAAAATACCAGAAATTTTATCTTTTTATTGTTAGGGAGATAGATAGATTTTTTTTGTTTCAAACCTCCTAAAGTTTAGTCACTTCCTATTTGGGTTTGGTAGACTAAAAGATACATTTTAGTCCCTTTTAGTCAGGATATTTGGCTCTAAACTAACCAAAAGGTGAGGCGGCCTGACTAAAGATGAGCTTTAGTTTCATTTAGCAAGGATGACTAGTTGGCTAATAAACTTTTTAGTCCCATTTAGTCATAGTGTTTGGATAAAAATGTAAAGATGTTTGGTTCCACCTACTAAAATTTAGTCCCTGTGGACACATGCATAGAGTATTAAAAACAGACTAATTACAAAACTAATTACACAAATTAAGATTAATTTACAAGACGAATCTATTAAGCCTAATTAACGCTATGTGTTTAATCTTTCTAATTAGTACCTAATTACCTGATTGACATCTACTCAACTTTAGCATCCGGTGGATTCTCGGTGAGAATCATACCGTTTAGTGAAGTAGCCCACATACGGAATAGTACTAGGACTGGCTCTTTAAGAACCTTCCAGACCTTTCCTTTAGAGTTTACAACAGTTCGCTGATCGAGTTGACCCCCGGCCGCGGTGTCCGGCGGCGCACATCAACACAAACTGCCCGCGTGAAAATGTGACTCAAGATTCAAGAAACATGGAGTATAGTAGTGAGAAAATACTAAAAATGAAACGATGAAAACACCACAGCTATCATAGACAGAATAGTTCTGCCCCCAATGGCAAGGAACCAAACAGGTTGCTTTCAATCTCTTTCAAAGAATCCTAAAGTCCGAACATGCCCAAATGCATAATACTGTCTTATGGCCCAAAACAGTAATGGAAACTAATTAGTCGGTTAACGAGTACGACAATGCATGCTATTACACGACATAGCACAAGATAACTCTAAGAAACAGAAGCAGCACGTAGACTTTGGCAACAGAAGGACCATAACAAGTGGCACAGGTGCAACGATATGGAGAGAAGAATCAAGGGCGTGAGTGCATCTATAAGAGCCTGAATTTCACTCCCTTCACGTAGCAGTACTCGCGATCATCAGGATCAAATTTATCCTCATCCACATAATCAGGACGCCGCCAGCATGGCATGGGCACAGGCCACCTGTAGTTATGAATGTTAAATCATAATTGTTGACAGTCATTCTATATGATGAAATGCCCCAAGCATATAGCAACATGCATCAGGATACCCACCTGTTAAACCTATCCCTGCGATCCCTGTCCATTTTCCACAAAGGCACACCAGAGGTATCATTGCAAATTTCTCCCGTCTTACTGTTAAGCATACCATTAAATAGATTATGCAGCAAACTTCTTAAAATGCTCAGAAAAATAACATATGTGATATGCATTTGAATACCTTCTTTCCTCAAACGATGCTAAAATTTTAGCAATGTTTGACCATGACAGGAAAGGGGTTCCTATCTTCTTATCATAGAAGTTCATGCCAAGAACATCCCCATCCAGAGTAACAAGAGGGCCTCCAATCCCAAGCTAGCAAAGTGACATGGACAAGTTGTGATTTCTATTCCAAATAGGTATTGCTAACCAACTCACTCTGATGCGACTATATATTTACGAGCAAATTCCCTATTTGCCATTGAAAAAAGATATGTAACCAACAACCTAGTAGAGAGCTTCAATAATTGGCCCAAACAATACAAGTCCATGAAACGGTTGTTTACATGGCTTTACATTAATTCCTTGGTGCAATGACCCTGTTTTTACATTATTTCCTTTGATCTTATGCAGAGGACCACCAAAAAAGAAGAGCAGAACCACCAGCCACGGAGTCAAGCATTGTTGCTTTTGATGATGATGCACCGGCCACTTGTATGAGTTTTCCACCAAGGTTTGCACTCAATTTTACTGTCTTATGTTTCCATTAAAATTTGCAGTGTTTTCTAAGTGACTTCCTTATGTAGTCAAAGCTCTGAGGCTTCAACTGAAAAGAGAGAGAGAGAGAGAGAGATAAAGGCGACACATCATGTTCTGGGAAATCGATCAGGTAAGATATCAAATTAGATTCTTTACATGACCTTGTGACTATTTGTGGGGGCTGAAATGAGTTTATGCATACATGTTTAGGTGTAGGTCTGCGAGTGGCAGCCAGAGGCCCTTTCCATTGAGTATCTTATGGCTGCGTCGATGTCCATTTCAGATGGGCAAGCTGTAGGTCCTGCTGCTGTGCCAGCCAAGAAAAGAAAGAAAATTGCTGCGACAACCAGGAAAGAGAAGGATGGGGCGAAGGAGAAGCCTAAAGGGAAAAGAAAGAAGGCAAAGATATTGCAGCCACTTGATAGCCCAGCAATGGCTACCAGAAGCAAGAAGCTGCTGTTTACTAGTCCTTCGAAGTCTACCAGAAGCATTCGAAGGCTTAGTCTGTGATGTGAAAGTGTGCTGTGAGCTGTGAGCATGTCATCCTTTTGCTTGGCTTGGTTTCTATGAACCAATGTATGTTAAACCATTATGTGGAGCTTCTGTCCCTTAGGAACTGCATGCCAGACTTGGTGTATTTGGGTCATCTCTATGCACTATGTGTTCAGACTCACTTTTTTCTTTTGATAATGTGCTCAGACCAGTTTTTGTGTCATGTTTTGGATAACATTTTATTACCATTTGAACTAATATTATGTGTGCTTGAAACTGAACATAGAGGTCTTTGCACCTTAATGGCATGAAAGGAAACAAAGATCTCCACTCCATAATGGCAGGAAAGGAAACATGGAAACATTTGCTGTGTCCTATCCTAGGGGCATATTTGCCTTTTCATATACCAAATAGCACCGTTAGTAGGTTCTGTACACTATAGTGGCACGAAAGGAACCGAAGATAAACTTGATGGCAGATAAGGAACTGCAAAATTTTCAATGGCAGATAAGGAAGCACATCTTTTTCCAATGGCAAATAGGGAATTGACTCTATATTTACTCACCATAAAAAAGTAGGCATACAAAAACATATAATTACCTTAGTAATCTTGCACGAGGAATGTACAAGTAAGTAACAATCAAGTGCACTTGAAGAGGAAATCAGCTTCCCACTCGTAGCCATTAATGCACATGATTCGAAACAACGCCCTACAGCTACTACATCAGAACACATAAGCCAAGAAGGCAGAGTATTTGCTGGACGAAGATCATAGCGATTCTTGAAACTGACTAGAGCAACATTGTAATGTAGATCATAATGCTCTAATGTCCCATTTATGCTTTCGGTGCTGCTTGGAAGCAACACTTCAATCTGAAAATGATACAAATTATGAGACTTAAGCAGCACCTTAAAAGAACAAGCAATCGCAGAATAATGAGCACTAACCCTCAAGTTTTCAACAATGTTGTTCTCGTCACCAGAATTTCTAATCAAGCTTGCCGATGTCAAAATCTTTGTAGATCCATTCCATCCAATAAAAAAACCCGTGCAGGCAAAAATTCTTTTTTCTCCTGCACCACATTTTGGATATCAGGTAGTCTGGTTATCAGCTAGTTGTGATCAAAACAGACATTAAACAGTAAATGGCACATCGCTATAAAGTCACCATTGAATGAAGCCAGTGCGACAACACTGCGATTTATTCTAGAAGAAGCTTTTTCACCAAGTTTTGTCCAGACACCTTTATCACGTTTATCGCCACCACGTATATCGCCAAAAGGCTCTTCAAAAGTATTGACCAAAATCATGCCAGCTGAGAAATATAGATTTTGGAATAGTTATTAGTAGTACAGGAGAGCTACAAAAGGTCAGCAAATATAGAAACGCTGACTCACCATCTAACATGGTTGATGGTAACTTAGGGTAACCCGAGTCGTCTATATCTAAGTGTTCCTGGCTGAGACAATCCCTGCGTCCTGGTGCAACAAGGTCAAGTGATCAGCACTGATATATCATAACAAGGTCAAGTGATCACAACTAGCTGATACTCCCTCCGTCCAGAAATGATAGGCGTATTTTATATATAGGAAGCCTTTTTCCTACTCCCAGGAGTAACTACTCCCACATGTGTATCTCACAATCTAGAGAGTATCTGACCATACTTGGGGTGTCTAAATAAAGTATGTGCATATACATGATTATTCAAAGTGGTATGCAAGACAAAGATGTGGGGATTCATTCAGTGTATGGACATACTCCTTTTTACTATGCAGTAAATGCGATATATGACCATATGCAAAAAAAAAATATGAATTCCGCTTAAATTTTTTCATGGTTATATCTTAGATTGGGTATGTAGATACACCCAAAGGTATTTGCACATACCGTGGGGTATGTACACATACCCAAAGTGTTTTTTTCAATGTGTGAGTAACTACAATTCACATAAATTCTGTGTGTGCATAATGATCAGCATGTAATGTTTGTTATATTACGATAACAACCTGATCAGCAATCCACATTAGAAGTTGGTGGTGTGCATGAACATACTCAAGCAATATAAGCGTACAAGTAAAAGAGTAAAACTAGTTGATATAAAAATGTAAAAAGCTAAACTTGCACAGCTTCTAAATAGATATCATTACAAAGCCGCAACAATTTGCACGATACCACAATGTTAAGAAGTCTCAAGGAGTGGCTGTAGGCTCACCTTCTGGGTGGCTGTTAGATTTACCACCTACAGGTGCTCCAAACCTGCAGAAGAAAATAATAGTTAACACTAACCCAAAAATAAAATGGATCAAGCCAGTGTGTTAATACACAAAATGGTGCCAAAACCTAAGTAGAATCATAGGCCAAAAATAAGATAGAGAAAATATGACCTGAAATTGTATGGATATAATAAATGTTTGATGAAAAACATGATGATAATGCCTTCTAGTGTGCACATTTCAATAAGACAAACATACAGCTGCAACAATGGCATAAGAAATACGGAAAATCTAATACAAGGAAACTGTGATACATGCCTAAGAACAACAAATATTTTGGTTGAGGTGTCAAAGAAACAAGTTAATATTTGAAGTAAACATTGAGAAACTGAAAAGCGCAGATGCCAAACAAGATAAGGAAGAGCAGTGAATGAGCCAGATTATCACATACATATGCTGTCTGGAACACAAAAGGCTGACCTTCTAAGCTCATGCAAGAGAAGAGGAAGTGAGGTAGAATGGAGTAGGTCAACTAATGAAGGGCATACATCACTTAGACATACCCGTAAACCAAACTTGTTGGCCGTGCACGACCTGTCACCTTTTCCCGGTATGTCCAGTAACGCTCCAGACACTTCAAAATTGTGCCCCATGGTAGGAAAACTGCTCTTTCCGTAACAAAAAAAAGGTTCATGCCAACAACTTCCCCATCAAAAGAAAAAATTGTTGCACCTTCCCAAGCCTAATAGTACAATAAAGGTGACAGGCAACGAGGGTTACATTTGAACAAAACATAAATGGTATGGAACAAGATTTAAATATAAAACAAAATTCATTTTTATTGCCTACATGCATAAAATAAATTAAACAGAATAAAATGGCTTTATTGTCATGCGAGTGTACCTTTGAGGTTTTACTGTCAAGATCTTTATCATCCTTATGTACCCTTAAATCACCACCCAATTCCACACTCTTGGCCGTTAGGTCACCAGAGACATCACGTCCAACTGCACATGCCTCACCATGGGGCACAGATTTCAGCTTACGATGGAAAATTCCAACATTAACATCACGGAAGCCACAGACTTCGACTACAGCAAAGTTGTGAACTAAATCATATTCAGCCAAAAAACCCCTATATACTTCCTTGCCTTCACGGCGCACTTCAATCTACAAAACAATGATAAGGCAAGAAATGATTACATAATGATCAGAAGCAAACAAAATAGTAATAAGCAGTGAATGTCGGAGCCAACCTTTAAGTCAAAATAGTGCTCGTTTGTTTTACCATGGAAAGCTCTAACCAAACTTGCAGAAGTTAGAAACCTTGAACGGCGGTACCCATCGTGTCCTATAGCCATGCCCGAGCATGAAAATAAGGTTATGTCTCCTACAGAAGATTGCAACTCGCTCGGATCATTTAACTGGTAGTGTTTCAATATATATTTGCTGGAAAACTAAGAAGACTGTAGCAGTATATATAATTACCATTGCATAAAGAAATTGAGACGACACTTTTACCCCAATCAGATAGCTTAGTGCAAACATCTTGACTAGAGTCCCCATCATGCAAGCGACCTAGTTGAAGAAAAGAAAACATTAAGGCAACTGTGAATGCTCCAATAAAATTGTGAAAATGCGTGTGCGTGCGTGCGTGCGTGTGTGTGTGTGTGTGTGTGGGGGGGTGAGGAGGGGAAATAGCAGAAAAGAAGAACTAGCAGACCTGAGATCCACTCAGCATTGCAAGATTTTCTGTTCTTACAAAAGTTTATAGTGAGATCTCCGCCGCCCCTCTTAGCTTTCCGCATCTTTCTCAAGGCTGAAGCAGAATTGTTTTAGAAATATAACAAAGGGGCAAAATATGGGGGGCCATAAGCAGTAATAAAAAAACAATGTAAAACTATAACCGTCTAACCAATCAACGGAATGCTAATAAAAGCCATTATGTCAGGACTGAAAGACCAACGTTGACAATTTTGGCATCTGTTTGTTTCTTCCTAGATCATATAATCTAGCTTATGGTCCAATGGTAGTATTATAAAAGATCAGACAAGATGCCGAAATAATCTGAAATAATCATCTCCTGGGCAGCTTATTTCAGATTATTTTGGCATCTAGGGTGGTCTTTTACTATGTTACGCTTGACTCATAAGCTAGATTATATAATCTAGGAGGGAAACAAACAAGTCCTAAGCTCAACCATCAACTATAGCACGGAGTGCTAACATGAAAATGCCTGCACACTCTACTCTATTACACCTGATGTATCGAAAGTATCTACCAGGTAGCCTATTCCTTGGGTTTTATCCAACTGTATTTAAAGTATCGATTTGCTCCCTGAAAACATACATCAGTGGTATCTTGGAGCAAAGGGCATTACCGCAGACACCTGAAAGGCTGAAAGAAAAGAGCTCACTGAAGCCCATATTTGTTGGTGCAGGTTGTAGTATACCGGTGTTAAGGTAGTCAAGACTAGGCTTTACCTTCCGTTGGACTATATGTAATATATGTTCTCTACTACTACTTAGTCTAGACCGAACATACAGAAGTACCATAGAAGCAGTCAGGCAGCCGCACAATTGAACCAACAACTTTCCCACTTTTAAGATTTCTCCTATCTGCCTAGAAAGAGGCCATACAAACATGGACCATGGAGCTCTTAAGAAAAAAAGGTCATACCTATTATTATGCTGCACTGAAATAAACTCCCAAAGGAATACTATCGAACTAATCTGAAACTGTATATCGATTCTTTGATCGGATTTCAAAACAAAGGGCTGTATACTTGAACACCAATATTGTACCACCCAATCAAGCGGATCTTGTTGAAAGAAGTCGGTCCGTTAAAGCCCAAGTTCCAATCAGATGGACACGTGTAATCGGCTGGATGTGACTCGAACAAACACCGCTACACCCCGGTAGACACAAAACGTGGGGAAGAGGGGTGGGATTTCGGCGTGCCCCTCTGCCGCCGCAAAATTTTTAGGGTCCGAACTAGGGTTTAGGTGCATGAAGTCACACACGGATGCGGGGAAAGGGACGAGGAGGGTCATGCGTACCTTAGAAGGCGCGGGGCAGCGCGGCACCCCTAGCACGATCGCCCGGTCCGTCGCTCGCCGGCAGGGTGGGGACTGGAGAGAGAGACTGAGAGCGAGCGAGCGAGAGCGGCGGGGGGCTCGGCGCGGATTCTCTAAATCGGATCGGGGGCAGGTGCGCTTTTTTAATCCTCCAGCAGTTTCCAATACTCTTTTTTTTTTTTTGTTATGCCCACTAATATTTTTCTGATCTCTCCCTTAAAATATTTTAACGAAGATACGACTCTTCCATAGGACCATCCCAACTATCACTTTTCAGCCATATTTTCTCTTACACTTCAGCAGGACCTATATTTTATATGGGTATTAGAGGAGATATATTATGGTAATGCTGCAGCAACTTCTTTAATAAATTTAGAAAGTGATATTAGGCTACTCTAATACTATATTATTGGGGGAGTTGTATTGGGGGATTACTCAAGATGCTCTAACGTTGCTGAGTAAAGTCACCTGTGCCTTGCCCCTATCCGATGCCATCCATTAGCTATCTCAATGCTAACCAAATCAGCCCAACTCCAGTTCACAGCCCAAATAAGGCCCAGCCTTTTGTCCTGGGAATGGTACGGCACATATTGATAATGTACTTTTTTTATCCTTTGTTTCTTGCAATGCCATGAATAGTACGGCACAGCTTTTTGTCCTGGGAGCAAACCGTTTAACCTTAAATAGTAAAATTGGTACCGGTCCAATGATAACAGTATCTCTTCGTCGATCATCATTACTCCCTCCGTTCCAAATTATAAGTCGCTTTGACTTTTTTGGTACATCCATTTTACTATGTATCTAGACATATATTATATCTAGATACGTAGCAAAATAAATGTACCAAAAAAGTCAAAGCGACATATAATTTGGACCGAAGGGAGTACTATGTTTTTCACCGTAACGAAGTTTATGTGGAACATCTCTTTCTTTGTTCTATATGTAGTACTAGCAAATATGCCCATACGTTGCAACAGGAGAAAAAAATATTAAATATTCATGCAAAACGATAACTTGAATGGTACGTGTCTTATGTTTTATGCTTTTATAATTTATTTTATGATGATCGTCACATCCATAATATAAAAGTTAATGCTGGCAATAAATAACAAGGTCCTATTAGACATGTATCGAATTAAAATACACCTTGGCATATTTTTTCCTTCCTTTTTAAAGTTCATAATTATTTAGATATAAATATATCATAAATTTTATTTTTCATACTACTCATGTGTTTCTCTGACTCAATATTGACCTTTGTAGCTTTTTTAACGCATCATATCAATCTCCGTAACTTTTTTTTGTCAATGTGTCAAGGATTGGTCTGTCCACCAATGATTATGATAGGAGACCTCTCTTGATTTTTCACATGGCAGTCCTCGTCAGGAATTACATAAATACATTTGTTTAGATTTCATTAGACAATAATCTGCCCAAGGTTTCAGTTGATGCAATAACTAGTTGTACCATTAACTAATCCATATTTTAATAAAAAAGTTTTTTGGGAATTAATAAAATAAGCACAATCTAATAAGATTTATAACATCTATGGATAGATCACATTTTTATGAAGCTAACAAAACTGGTTTGGCATTTTTCTGATTTTTTTACAATTTTTGCGAATTTTGCAAGATCTCTGTTTTTATAGAAAAAGAGAAAAACGAAAGAAAATGAAAAAGGTTTGTATGGGCTTGGTCCAGTCAAAAAAGCCGACCCAACTTGAAGAATTCAGTCCAGGTCGAAAAAGAAGCCCACCAGGAGACGCCCACTTGGTTTTGAACATTTTGCATCAGGAACCCTGATATATTTTTTAAACTATTAATGTCCTTCTACCTTTTTTCTCTGGCATCTTTACATCTAGAACCCCGCATTTCTTTCTGTTCTCTTTCCTACTCTAATCTCCATTCGGTTAACGCAAATAGAAAAGAAATTGGCATAATGGAGAGAACACGGGTGAGAGTGAGACCGAGCCAGATTTGGACAGGCTGGTAGAAAAAAAACGCAGCAGAAATTTTACCTTTTTAGTATTAGGTATAGATACAGTCTATGTACTGAGAAAGAAGTTATGTTCTCTGTAGCAAGCTGTCTCCTGGCACAAGCTAATCCTTTGTTCTTTAGGGTACCCGTGTCAAACACTCATAATAAGGGCCTGTTTGGACAGCTCCACTAGTCAAAAAAATGAATCTGGATCTGAGATTCACCGTGGAGCAGCTCCACTAGTGGATCTGAGATCCACCATGAATCTACCAAGGAACCGTTTGACTATACTGTAGATTCAGATCCACTCAAGGACATTTTAATTGGAATTGCCAGATTTGCCCCAGGAATAGACCCCATTTGTCAATGTCTTCAAAAAGCTTGTTGCCTGTCTTCTTACTCCTCCAGCCGGAAGCCCGGTCTTCTTCTCGTTTCCCTGTTTTCTCTAGGCTAGGAGTGCACTCCGCACGGCACGGCCACCTGCAGGCTTCGGCTGCTGTGTTGCGTCTGCTATTCTACTGCTGTAGGGCGCGGCCACGGCGAGCGGAGATTCGGCGACCAGGCGTGGCACCCGGCGGGCGCGGCCATGACGCGGCACCGTCTGGCGGAGCTCACGGGCGCGGGTGCGTGGGAGGAGGTAGAACTTGGCGAGCTCGGGCTTCTAGGTGGGTGGGGATGGGATCTGCTCCGTCGCCCACATGGGGGATTTACTTCGACGGCGGCGTGGCGCGGACCGCGGCGGCCGGTTGGAGCTCCTACGGCCGGCCATGGCGACCTCTCTGGGCGCGGCTGAGGCGGGTGGGCGGAGACTCACCGGAGCTCGCGGAAGGGGCTGCAGTGGCCCTGCCGAGCAGGCGCGGGAGACGGAGCTTGGCGTCTCATGCGGTGAATAACGAACGGCGGAGGTCAGGGTCGCGTGCGGGGAGGAATAAAAAAAATAGAACGAACTGGTAAGTTATGTAACCAATGGCAGTGTTGGGTAATTTTTCCAACTCCACCAATTCTAGTTTGGTGGAGCACCCCTTGAGGAGATCCACCAAATTAGTGAATATGGCCCTTGGATCTATCTTTTTGGTGAATCCGGATTTGGTGGAGCCAGTGTGTTTGGGTAACTTTTCGTGGATTGGTGGATCCGGAGCCGGTAGAGTTGTCCCAAACAGGCCCTAATTAAGCATTGTTGTTAACTTCCCCTTTACAAAAATTTCCCAGTTAGCATATTCAAAAAAGTCAATACTATTGCATATGTTTTCCTTCTTGGCTTTGTTTACCTTTGATACACGGTAATGAGAAAGTGGGCCTTATTTGATGTCGGTGTTTTTTACCGGTAGATATTTGGTTCTTAGGGAACCCCGCTTGGTGCAAAGATCAATCACAAAGAAGACGAGATTTATACTAGTTCCGGCCCACGTGATCGAGTAATACGTCTAGTGTGGTGTTCTTGTATTCTGTATTCGGCGAGTTGAAGATTACAATGTAGCTATTACAATAGAGGGATCGCTAGCTATTTATATCTGGGATCAACTTGCCCTACAAGCTAAGAAGTCGTATCCTAGTCGGAGTCTTGACGTAATCCTAAAATATCCTTCCTTGAATAGGCTTGTCGTTCCTAGTCATATCTCTTCTGATCTAGAGTTGGCTTTCGGCGAATCCTTTAGTCAGGATACCGGGGTATGGCATCAACATTAGCCTCCGAGCTTGTCTGCCACAAGGGCTTGTGTGTTCAGTCATCGGTCCTTTTACACTTCCTTGCAATTTTAGAATTCAGAGAATTCTTTAATGCTTGTAGAAGTCGAGAAGGTGTGACTCAGTGTGGGGCACATGTATTTACAAGTGGAACAGTCAAAACATTCAAGTTTCTAATACTATACTAGGTGAGTATCCGTGCGTTGCAACGGGAGCACAACATTAAACCAAGACAATACAACTATTTCGTTGTTGGCAGAATTTGACATAGTTGATTGCAATAAAGATGATGTAAAACGGTTGTTTTCACACCTAAACACAAATGAAAGCAGAAGTAACAATACAACACACTGGGATAATTGGAGGCAATCCGTCTACGACTTACAGCTCATGAGAAGTGGAGTTACATGAGAGATTATTTACAAAGAGATAATTGAGGTAGCAGATTGATTAAATTGCATAGCATATGGTTAATGACCTCGAAGGCATCATCATGCTGACCCTTGTCAATTATGGTAGGACACCCAAAAGAAAACTCGCATCTTGTTGCATTGATCTCTCAAATTAGCGAAGGCACTTGAAATACCCTATAGCACATAGTTCAATTAAACCAATCATACAGTGATATTTTTCTACAAGCACTTAAACTAACAACTTATGAATCCTATGCAGACTATTTCAGCCTTTTGTGTTCCAGACCAAGGTAGAAGAAAGAGCCAGAGGCAAAAAGGACATTTCACTGTGCTCCTCTCTCCTCAAAAGCTAGAAACGGATATTTTATTAGGCGGAGTGTCTAGCAACAAAATTACCAAAAGCCAAAATGTCTTCCAGCAAATCGGTCTATTTTGGGAGCAGAGGGTGGTCACTTTCAATGTTCAGCAACCAATTTTGCCTTTTTTTTATTTGGTTATATAGAAACATGTCGTGTTAGTGTGCGATGCGACGCAAGTTGAGTCGAGGGATCCAAATCCTTGACCTGCAGGCTGCAGCTAGCTAGCTAAGATTGAAGCGTTGGACTTTGATTATGAAACAAAACACACATTAGAGCAAGGTCAATAATAGAGCTAAGTGTTTAGCTATAAGCCAAGTTATAAGAGCCAAGCTATACAATAGTTAGTCTTCTATTTGTCTATAAAATTTCTTTATTATTATATGTCTTTATTCTCTTCCCTATTCCTCCTCACATATATCTCTATTGGGACCCACTACTGCCTATGCTTCCGTGTCCAACTTGGTACTTGCATGGGAGATCAGCTCTCTTCTCTCTCCTTCCTTCTCTCTTCTCTTCCATATCAGCAAAAATATTAGTTAACTTGGCTATAAGCCAATTGTTGTACTTGCTCTTGCTACTATAAAATAAATCGCAGGAGGTCAAGATGCATGCATCCAACAGATGTGATTTAGCAGTTAGTCAGCATTTCATTCATTCGTCGGGACGGATCGGAATAAAGTCAAGATTCAAATAACGACAATTATTATGTATGCTGATCAACGTATATAAAATATATAAATGCTTAGTAAGTACGGTTGTGAAAATGATAAAGAAAAAAAAACACTGGAGTCAACCTGCTATACGGATGATGAATACTCCTGTATACTCCGTCCGTTAAAAAAAATGCAATTCTCATTTTTGGAAGAGTAAGTTTAACTAAATTTATACAAATATTTATTAATATTTAAGATATCGAATAAGTATCGTTATGTTGACGACATTATATTGATGACATAAAAATGATATTTTTGTATAAACTTGATCAAACTTATAAAAAATCTAGAATTATATATATATATATATTAGATCGAGGGAGTATATGATGGACAGTGCAACTGAAAAAGCAACCGATATTGTTAGCTTAATTAAAGTCACAAGACCCAACCGACGGACACCTGCACATGCATGCATGTGGATGAGCTGTGTGCCAGTGTAGGTGCGTTCTCGTAGCAGCCGGGCTGACGCGGACCCGTCGGGCCCGGCCCGTACGTAGCCGTTGAAGGTGCGACTGGAATTCTGATTCTGAATTCAATCCTTCCTTCAACCGTCTCCTAATAATCCCAGGACATTCCATCCTCCTTCCTCCGCCGTCAGGTGCCAGCCATATCCTCTGTTTAGCAATAGGCCAATAGCTCCAGCTCCTCTCCACTCTTGTGAGGTTTTTAGGAACTCCTCAGATGAATTATCTCATTCGGCACAAAATAGCTCCTAAAGTTGGTAAAGTTATGCCAAACAATGCCTTATAACAGTACTTGTATTGATTGTGCATTGTATACTCATGAACACTTTGGGTTCAAGGTTTAAAATTGTAGACTATACCAAATAGAGGCATTTTTTTCAAGGAGCTATAAGGCTATAACAAGGCTGTAGCGGAGCTACCATAGGTAGTGATTTAAAAAAAACATAAAAAATACAAGTAATCGATTCACAAAAATATGACAATCATGAAATTTGATGGACACAAAAATGTTTCTAGGTTCTAGGAATCTTTTTTTGTGACAAAAGTTCTAGGAATCTAGGATATGTAATTTGCTATGGCTTGGTCTCCAAGCCGGTAAAAATACCCCCCTTGTAGAGGTAAGAGTATGAGTACTCGATCCATCCAGCCCACCCTATGTCTAGGGGCCGGATATGTCCTCCATGATGATATCTAGGAAGGGGGGGGGTTCAGTATTGTCGTTAATGCCTCTGGTGAGTAACCTTCTGAGTATACATAGAAGAGGAACAACTCTATCGGTGTTTAGTACTATAGGCGAGTGACTTTGATGGCAGGTGTCTTACATCTAGTGAAAAAGATGTGTTGTATTGCTTGCGTACTAAATGCTATGTTCGATGTCAAGTAGGGGAATGAGAAGCCGGGGAAAGTAGCAAGAGGAGTAGGGTGACACACAGATGACTCTCGATTGCCAAAGGTATTGTTGAGTAACTATATACAATTACATCCGATTCACTGGAGCACTATTGGGATGACTAGCGAACTCCCTCAGCCAGAATTGTGCGGATGGCAGGTGCATAATGCAGGCCATTCTGTTTTTATGTGAAGATAAGCTGACAGGATAATCTGCCGGCCTATGTACTACTAAAGGAATAAGCACGTACATACACAAGTAAATACCAAATACTCTATACCACCACCATCATCGAGAACCAACACGCAACGTTACCAGTGACACGAATGACCATGACAATCAAAGCTGCCCACCCAACCTGTTCTGGTTAGGCAGAGCAGTGTGTGTATCAGTGCTGGGCACGGTGGCCCTGTATTAAATCCGTTGTATGTCGTAGGACGTCTTGGTGAAATGTCAAATACTATTCATGTATACTACTTAATTTCTGTCATGTCACGTCCACGACGCATATATAAAGACATCCCGACGGGGTTTCGAGAGGGCTTCAAGAGCTCCCTACACTGCCTTATATGGGGTTGCCGGGTTAGGTTAATGACTCCCGATTGTGGTAGATACACTATTGCATACAATCAGATCCTGAGGCTGTCGCGACGACGGGCTTCTTTGACGTGCACACTTGTGGCAATGGCAGCCAACAAAGATGGACGAATTAGAGCGCCGGCGTGACGGCGCGGATGAAGAACCATGCCCAGCAGCGTGGTCAGTGCGTCGGTCAGTCACTCAAGTTGTCTTCTTTCTTTCTTTCTTTCTTTCTCTGATGAAATGAAAGAGAGAGACGGAAGAACAAGTCGCTGTTGTGTTGGAGTGCAACGGGTCCGTCCGATCCGACAGGTAGACGACGGACCCTGCTCTGCTCCTTTGCTGCCAAAAGTGGAGTGCATGCGCGTGCGTGCTCTGCTCTGCTCTGCCCTGCTGCAACTGCAACCGTCGTCGACCCACCGGACGGAGTGAATGCGTGCGCAGTGCGCTGCGTCGTCGTCCCTGCTCCTGCTGTGCAGACGCGGTTTTAGTTTTACCAGCGACAGAGAGCAAAGACAAGAAGCTCGATCGGTGGCGGTCGATCAGGGCAGGAGACGTCGACGTCGACGTCGACGTCGGACTCGGTCCGCGGCTCGCGGCCCTGACTTGTCTCCTCCTCCGGTTCGCCCCCTCTGCGGCTGCGTGCGTGCGGTGCTCCGTGGACTGTTTGTTTCCAGCGGCTACCGGCTAGCGGCTTGCATGCTATATATACACAAAATCCTCCGTCCTTCCCTTCCAAACTTCCAACCCCCCAAAAGCTCCGACCGAGCTGCTAGTGCTATGACTCTGCGGTCGCCGCCGGGGGCACTGGACCACCCAAAGCTCCTGCAGGCGACGAGCCCTACTACTAGTAGTAGCAGGGACCATCATCGTCTCATCAGCAGTCTCAGCGTCGTCGACGACATGCTCCCGCGGTCGCCCAAGCTGCTCAGGACCAACTCCTCCAAGAAGGTGCCGGCGGCCAGCAACCTGGAGCGGGCGCTGCTCAGCTTCAAGTCCTGGGAGGCCAGCGCCGGCGCCATCGACGACGCCAACAAGCCCGCCGCCGGTGTCGCGGCCGCCGTTCCGGTTCCGCCGGCGTCGCCCGTGCAGCGCCGCATCCACGGCGCCAGGCCGGGACGCCTGGCCCTCCACAGCCCGACCATGGCTGCTGCCGACACCACCGTCGACGTCCTGCGGTCCCCGCTCCACGAGGCCGCCGCCACCCGGGTGCAGAAGATGTTCAAGGGCCACCGCACGCGCCGCACCCTGGCCGACTGCGCCATCGTCATCGAGGAGCTGTGGTGGAAGCTCTGCGACTCCGCCTCGCTCGACCGCACCTCCATCTCCTTCTTCACCGCCACCGCCGGCGGGGGCAAGCAGGAGACGGCGGCGTCGCGGTGGGTCAGGGCCGGCAAGCGAATCGCCAAGGTCGGAAAGGGACTCTCCAAGGACGACAAGGCGCAGAAGCTCGCGCTCCGCCATTGGCTCGAAGCAGTACGTCCGTCCTTCTTCAATTCCGTCCTCGTCGTCGTCTTCAGTATATAATGCATGCAACAAATGATAATTGCAGATCGACCCGCGGCATCGGTACGGGCACAACCTGCACCTCTACTACGACATCTGGTTCCAGAGCTCCAGCACGGAGCCATTCTTCTACTGGCTGGACATCGGAGGCGGCAGGGAGATCCATCACCCCAGCTGCCCCAGGACCAAGCTCAACTCGCAGCTCGTCATGTACCTGGGAATGGTGCGTCGTCGTTGCTGCCTACGAATTCATGAAGTTTCCTCCCCTTTCTTTGGTTTCGCCAGCCGGCCGGCCGCTGACTCACTGAAACGAATGGCATCCATTCAGAACGAGCGGGCGGCGTACCAAGTGGTGGTTGAGGACGGGAGGCTGACGTACCTGCAGACCGGGCTGCCCGTCAACACCACCGACGAGTCCAAATGGATCTTTGTGCTCAGCACCACCAGGTCGCTCTACGTCGGGCAGAAGCGCAAGGGCCAGTTCCAGCACTCGAGCTTCCTCGCCGGCGGCGCCACGTCCGCCGCGGGCAGGCTCGTCGCAAAGGACGGCGTCCTCAAGGCCATCTGGCCCTACAGCGGCCACTACCTCCCCACCGAGGAGAACTTCAACGAGTTCATCGCCTTCCTGCAGGAGAACAAGGTGGATCTCACCGACGTCAAGAGGTGCTCCGTGGACGACGACGAGTACCCGTCACTGAAGCGGAAGCAGCAGAGCATAGCCGACGACGAGGAGAAGGAGGCCAAGCTGGAGGCGGAGCCGGCAGCAGCAGGCGCCGTGGATGCCAACGAGACCGGCAGCTGCGCGGTGGTGGCGAAATGGACGAGCGGCGCCGGCGCGCGCATCGGCTGCGTCCGGGACTACCCGGCGGAGCTGCAGAGCCGGGCGCTGGAGCAGGTCAACCTGTCGCCCAACAGGCCGGCGCCGCCGTGTCCGTGCCCGCCTCAGTCGCCGTGGGCAGGCAAGGCGCCCATCCCGTCGCCGCGTCCCAGCCCGCGCATCAGGCTGTCGCCGCGGGTGCAGTACATGGCCGTGCCCGCGGCGAGTCCGACCGGCCTGCGCCCGCCGCCGCTCAAGCAGCAGTGCCTCGGCCTCGGGCTCGGCATCCGCCCACCCACGGCGCACCTCACGCTGCCCGGCAACAAGAACGGCAGCAAGGCCACCACCTCGTCACCAGACAATCACTGACATCACATCATTCAGATGCAAACAGCAGTTTTGTTCTTGGCCTCGGAAGTAGTGCTCGCAGTAGATATATGGTTACATTACATACAGTAGCTGACTAGCAAGAGTTTTTTAGCTTTTTAATTACACTGATTCCTCCATTTCTTTGTAATGCTCGTTGGTTTGTTCAAAATTAACCTGACCTGAAATCACTGCACAGCACAGAGCCACAGACTGGATTTTTGTTGATCGTCTAAACTGAAGTGAAAGAAAGAAACAAACCTCAAATCACTGACGAATGTGAGGCCTTGTTTAGATTCCAAGTTTTTTCACTCTCTCTCCATCACATCAAATCTTTGGACACATGCATGGAGTATTAAATGTAGATAAAAAAATAACTAATTATACAGTTTGATTGTAAATTACGAGACGAATCTTTTGAGTCTAGTTAGACCATGATTGGACAATAATTATCAAATACAAACGAAAGTGCTACAGTATCAAATACTGATTCTCAACCATCATCTAAACAAGGCCTGAACTTCACGCGCAGACTCTGAATGAATTTCATTGATCGTCTGAACTGAAAGACAGACAGACAGACAGAGTCATACTGGTCAGCCGAGACTGGCAAGGACAGCACTGCTACGCCTCTTTGAACTGAACCAAAGAATGAATGAAAAAGAAAAACCAGCAAGGCAGGTAGCCTCGAATGGAATGAGACTGTTCATCTTCTTCTTCTCTCCGAGTGAAGGCACGCGCTGTCACGTTAGACCCGTCTGAAATTGCGAACAACGCCAGGCGACTTGACAAAAGCTGAGCTTCTCTTTTGACCAACACCTTTTGTATACTAACGTCCCTTTAAGACGCAGGAATTTCAGACAAGAATTTTTCACAGAAATCACAAATCAGTCCATTTTAGAACTGTCGAACTGGTTTTGTGAGAACTGTTGAACCGGTTTTGAGTGCACACTTGGCATTCGTGTACTTAATGGCCTTAGTTTTCATTTCAGCCAAAAATCTCTTTTATTGGTACATGATCCTTATAGTCGACAGTTTTTAATGGCAGGCAAACGTGCTCGTTGACAGACAGACATCTCGCCCGTCAGCGTCTGTGTTACCTATCCAGGCTATTCTCAAGGCACGTGCCTCCGCGGTCAAGGGCTCTTAGACTTTTGGTCCCGTGCAAAACATTTGAATCAGACAGGGACTTTGCTTCACTTTCTGTGACGGCACACGTAGCCGCTGCACTGCTAGTACTTGGTCTTCTTACCCAGGGCCAGGCCAGGCCTCGCCTCGCCTCTTCACCGCTTGCACTTGGTTTGGTCTGGCTTCGGTCATTGCCAAACGCCAGCGCAGCATATTTCACCAGCAAATTACTAGATAACCTCGAGGAAAGTACCTGGTTACTGCAATTGACAAAACCGTCGCCAATCCATAACCAACCATCAGGCTGTTCGGAGATTATTTATTGCTGGCTGGTTTGATGTGAGAAAAAAACACGGTTCCCGGCTGGAAATTTACGATCGTTTACGAGCAAACGAACAGTCTGCATATCTAAACGTGGACGTACACGATCCCGTCAAAAACAAAAGCATGCACGTCTTCATGCAGCATTCAGATGAAACTGGTTTTTGGTCGCCAGCAGCTGTTCCAACCTGCGACCACATCGCACAAAACTACGACAGGTGAACAGCAACGAGCTCACATCTGTCACGAGCAGCATAACATCTCAGAGACGGAGTCAAAAACATATATAGCAGTTGAGGAATATGGAGTTACATGAGAGAGCAGGCACGATAAACCTCTCCCAAATGTTCTACCAAAGCAGCACGCACATCACATCAAATGTGAACCTCAAGAAATCCCTCTCAAAATAAACCATCGTTCACAGGACGCGGCACCCTTCCGTTACGCACAATCAAAGAAATGACAACATGTACAACGGAGGCTAAGCATAGCCATTGACACAGTTTCTAAGAGCCGTCGCCCGGACTGCGCTTCAGGCTCACTCACCCAAACCTCTTATTATCCAGCCGCCCTTGGTACTTCCATCTCGGTGAGATCTTGACACATGGGAGCATCCTAGGGGGGGGGGGCAGCACACCGACGATGCACCCAGTCAGGTCCCAAACAGATGAGATGCTAATAGTGAACCCTGTCATCGCCGTCGAAGTTTAGGCCCTGCATGCCCCTAATGGTAGACTCATAGTTCTTCGGGTTAGATGAGTGGCGCCTGCTGGAAGACGAGCGCCTGCCGTCCGAGGAGTCAGGCATCTGCGGGCTCCACCGCGGGGCTCCAGACCTCTGGAACGCCCCTGGGCTTGCATCAGTGGTGCGGCTACGTGTTTGCTCCGCTTCAGTGCTTGGCTCTCGGCTACTAGAGACAGCAGGCCGCCTTGACGATCCGCTTGAACGTCCCAAAAAAGTCGAACTGGAGAACTACATGTCATTTAAGGGTCAGATAATACATGACAACTAACATACACAAACACTCCAGAATCACCCCCCCACCCCCCGCTTCTTCCCATCACAAAGCAGCACCAAACAACGTGAAAATATCAAACAGCTCACCACAGCATCTTTGGATGTCGATGTCTCAGGCTGAACAGGGGACTTCTGCTTGGCTAGGCTGCCTGCATTTATAACTGGTGGTGGAGCCTGGCGTCGCGTTGGGTCCATATCTGACCACCCACCTCTCCTTCCCTCTTCAGTGCCTATTATACATGAATGTAGCAGGCAGTCAAGCAACTAAATAATCTAACCAACTGGCACATCGGCAACACTTAAACTATGTATAAACAAAACGGTCCCGTAGATTCACAATAGAATAGAATTGGCCAGCAAGAAAATTCATTCCATTACCAATTAATTGCTTCAAATATACAATGTGACTGATTTCAACCTTTCATTTCATTACAGTAATCTTGTAACTGAAACCCCTTTTAGAAGGGTGGTTCAAAGTGTCTGATATTCAATCTGCCAGACTAATTCACTGCACGCTACTGCTACCAAAAAACTGGCACATTAATGAAACATTGCATGAGATTTATCTTTTCAAAAAAGAAATAAGCAGCAAGATATCATTCAAATTCTAACTTGTGATGGGCATACAGCACTATGCATCGATGGTATCAACTGCTAAATGAGAATTCTTGAGCGTCAGACCTGAATGTCTATTGTTATTTGCCACAGGAGCCATCCCAGAGCTCTGTCCTACTGGTGGAACCTAAATAAGAAGGCATGAGCATAGTCAGAAAAAAAAAATATCCATGTGTGCGCCATTGAGGTATGGTAGGAGGGCATTTTATTCATTGTACTGACAATTGCACGTGGTGGAGCAGTGGTCATCTGTGCCTGTTGGTACTTTAGAATGGTCCAGTCAAAAACATAATCAAACTGAAAGCCTGCCCAATGGATAACATAATTTCGAGTTAGCATTTTGCTACACTGAGAATCAAAAACATGGTTTATCATTAAATGAAATATTGGGCATATTAAACCAACCTTCCCGAATAAAAAGGTCTCTGAACAATCTCTTCAGGTATTGATAGTCTGGTGCATCTTCAAAACGTAGTGAGCGACAGTAATGGAAGTAAGAAGCAAACTCAGTTGGATATCCACGACAGAGGGCCTACAATTGGGGAAACACAATAAGAACATATACACCAAAGAAGGAAACACAGTTAGTAGAGAACAATGTGTGACCTCAGTTGAAGTAGCAATTTTCCTTTCGCTGATCTTTTCATACTTTTGTTTCTTGTTCCCAGCTTTCAGGCCCTGCCATGGAAGGCTGACAGTAGGCAAACAATGTGTTAACCCAGACATATCAGAAAATCTGAGATGAAACAGCGAATCAGGTTACAGTAAACAACCTTCCTCTCAAGAAGTACATCAGTACATATCCAAGAGATTCCATGTCATCCCTCCGGCTTTGTTCTGCGAGAAGACATCAATTATGATATCAAAATGAAATGTCACGGATAGGTAAGAGAATTTTTTCAGGAATCCAGAAACTGCATGCCTGGAAACTAGCTACCACCCAATTGAATAAAACCTACCAATTCCAAGGTGGGTATTTACACTTGCATATCTTGCTGTTCCAGTCAAGTTCTTGTTCTCTCTGCAATTAAATGGACAAGACTGAAGGTTCACAAATTTTAAATTGAGGTGCTGTCTGAATTCTGAAATCACGCTAAGAGAAGGATTTTCCAGATATTTGAATTTCTAGTGGTACGTGAAACAATATCACACATGAGCATAAAATAACTACGGACCTACTGTGGCAGCATAAGAAACTACAGCAGTAAAATATATTGTTGGTGATACTATGGAGCAAGTAAAATTATTTTACGGTAAAAGTGAAAATAAATAAGATGTTGAACAGCAATTTCATGCAAAATTCTCATAGCATGCTTACCTGTATGGAATGTGCTGGTGTGTTGATGTATCTCTGTACTTCTTTGCAAGTCCAAAATCGATAACGTAAACCTATAAAGAGATTAAAAGCAATTATTAATGCGTGCACCTATTATTAGACCCATAAGTAAAGGTAGATTGAGGGAATATAACAAATCACCTGGTTTGCCCTTTTCCCAAGACCCATGAGAAAATTGTCCGGCTTAATATCTCTATGCAAGAATGACTTCGAATGAACAAACTCAACTCGATTGATCTAGGAAAATAGAGGACATTAATATCATATACAATTAAATGAAAGCAGATGGATTGAGCAGAAATATGCTTCATGGAAACTTGAACCTAAAAAGAGAAAGTAAGCAAACAGAATAGTGAACTAGTCATGCTTCAATGATGCAGCATACCATTTGATCAGCAAGCATCAAAACAGTTTTGAGGGACAGCTTCCTGTTACAAAAGCTAAAAAGATCTTCAAGGCTTGGTCCCAGTAAGTCCATAACCAAAACATTGTAATCACCCTCAACGCCAAACCACTTAACATTTGGAATTCCAGCTGCAGATGAAGAGAAAAATGAGAGTCAACACAAATTTAAAAACAAACAGAGGGAATGAAGAGATAAGGAAGATAAAATAAGTGTGTGCATTACTTCCTCCTTGAAGTATTCTGTATAATTTCGACTCGTAAAGCAATTGAGGATGCTTCGTCTTAACATTTTCCTGGATAAGACATTAGGAACAACAAGGTTGTTATCCATCCACGTAGGAATTCGGTAGATGGAAACAATACAGAATACCCAAAAACTATAACACAAATTTCAATGCATTTGTACCAGGTAAGTTCATAGTTGCAGTGCGGTTAAAAGCTGTACTTAGAAGTCAAACAATGAATTATATCTTGAATGGCGTAAATACATTCCATGTCTTCACAACAGGAATTTAAATGGGGCAGCTAAATAAAAGCTTCCCATGCAGCGTACTATAGAACACATTACCAAGCTGTTATTTAGTTATTATATTGACATATTGCAAACCTTGTGCTTTAGAAAAATGCATTAACAAGTGAGTTATGTGAGAAATGTTAGTTGATCTCCACCAATAGGCCCAACGGCCTATTGGGCCCTTGGATCTGCGCCGATCGGGGGCGCCCAACCCTAATGTGGTTGGTGGGCCCCTGTCGCACAACACTATAAATAGAGTGGGGAACTGGGCTTGACTAACGAAGTTGACCGGAGCCGCCGTAATCCCACCACAGAGAAACCTAATCCGATCTAAAGGAGTGCTGCCAGCGACGGGATGCCCCACCGCACCGCCATCGCCCTTGCAGCGTCACCACCAGTCCACTGCATCGCCACCACGACGCCAACAACCCCACGGTACCGGCGTCTACCCTGCTGCGGTGCAACTATGCAAAGGCGAGGAGGCTTACCCCGGATCTACGGTTACAGAAAGGTACACTATGATTCTAACAAGAAAGAGCTGCCAGTAAAATCAAAGCAATCGATTATTTTAACAAACAACAGCAGAACATACAATTAGACCTGCGCAGCCTTAGATCCGTGCAGTCTGGCGATCCTTATTTGCCGAGACAGCAGGGGCATCACCATAGATCGCAAAATTAGGGGAAAATACTGAGGAACTCACCAGTTTAATTGCGACCTCCTCGTTGGTCTGCACGTTGGTGCCTGCACAATCACACAGACCCAGACAATAGCGGAAAGGGTAAAAAAAAAACTTATCAGCAACTCGCCAAGATGGGAACTTTGGAACCAAAACAAGATCTTTTGGCATAATTGCGAACGAACCGAGGTAGATCTCCCCAAAGGAGCCGCTCCCCAGTTTGCGGCCGACGCGGAACCTGTTGCCGATGCGCGGCTCCATGGCTGTGGCGGCAGCTGTGGGCGCAGCCGCGTCGGTGGAGAAGATCCCGGGAATTAGCAGAAGCAGACGGAGCTTGCCATGAGGGAATCGAATGGATTCAGTCTGATGCTCCGCGGAGATTCGGGGTTAGGGCTCGAATGGATCGAAGTGGGGGCGATTGGGGATTTCTGCTCTCCTTTTTTCCCCTTTCGTGCTGCTGGTGTCCTTATTTTCTCGAGCACGGCCCGGCTGCCTGGCTAAAAGGAGAAATTACTGAGAAATCGAGGTATCGGACAGTAAGATGGCTAACGGAATGGCGTCGCGGTTTGGTCTGGTTTGGTGCCCCTCGTTTTCCTGTTCGTTTCGCTTTCCTCCTCCTCCTGCTCGTGCCCTGGGTCTCCTACCTCTCTGCCCTGGGATATCACTCATATTATATTTGTTTTCTCCGGATTCGGATTCGAACACGGATAGCGTCGGATCATATCTGACTGGATTGACTTCGATTACTGACCGAATAATGAGTATCCGGTATGAATGATTCGGAGAAGGTCGAATACAAATATCTATTAGGATATTGAGTAAAAAAAGATATATATATATATCATCCAAACCATTACACCACTCTATGAGTCCATAATCCATCCCGAAAGACTAAAGAGTAAAGCAACAAATAAGATAAAGATCATACATACATACATCAAACATCATATAAGCATCAATCTTGGCGGCATGAGTAGAAATAGCCTTTTGCTTCATGGGTCTCATGGAGTCATGGTCATGGATTCAAGATCTACAATCCTTATATAGGCCATTTTTTTTATTTTGAGAAAGTTTGAACAAAATGTAGTTCAAATTTCACAAGTGTGTGACATAGTTTTAGAAAGTCTGTATTAGATTTAAGAATTTGTGACTAGTGTTTGATAAAACTTTCTCAAATGGGAAAATGAGCTATGTAACAATTGTATATCTTGCTGAGATGATCAAACTTGGTATTCAGAGTTTTTTCATCTGAGGTCATTTAGTGTCTCATTTGAGCAAGTTTGACCAAGTCAAATTTGGTCAAATGAAAAAACAACACTTTGACTCTAGTATTATGAACTCTAAATGACTTCAAATTGAAAAGTTTTGAATACCAAGTTTGTTCAACTCATCAAGATCTACAATTCTTGTTTTGGTCCACTTTCCATTTGAGATAGTTTGGACGGTTCAAATTTGTGATTTTTAAATTTCGATGCTTACAAACTAGTTTTTGGAACCCTAGATTGTCTCAAATTGAAAAGTTTTGAATACCAAGTTTGTTCAGCTCATCAAGATCTACAATCCTTATATAGGCTATTTTTTCATTTGAGAAAGTTTGAACAAAATGTAGTTCAAATTTCACAAGTGTGTGACATAGTTTCAGAAAGTCTATATGAGATTCAAGAATTTTTGACTAGTGTTTGATAAAACTTTCTCAAATGGGAAAATGAGGTATGTAACAATTGTATATCTTGCTGAGATGATCAAACTTGGTATTCAGAGTTTTTTCATCTGAGGTCATTTAGTGTCTCATTTGAGCAAGTTTGACCAAGTCAAATTTGGTCAAATGAAAAAACAACACTTTGACTCTAGTATTATGAACTCTAAATGACTTCAAATTGAAAAGTTTTGAATACCAAGTTTGTTCAACTCATCAAGATCTACAATTGTTGTTTTGGTCAACTTTCCATTTGAGATAGTTTGGATGGTTCAAATTTGTGATTTTTAAATTTTGAATAAATATCCGGATAATATCCGTTTTAAATATCCGGATATATTCGATACTTATCCGGATTATCCGATATCCGCCGGATATCGATGATATTACATTCGTATTTGATATCCGCCTAAGATATCCGTTTTAGTATCCGTATCCGAAAAAAAACCGGATATCCGAGTAACTATCCAGATAAATGTTCATATTTGTTCGGTCGAACGGACGGTCGAATAAATATCCGTACCGTTTTCATCCATACCTCTACCTCATCTGAGTGGACCTGACCTCCTATGTTCCTTCCATTCCACTCTCATGTTCCCGAGCTAAGGGTGTGTTTAGTTACCCTAAAATCAAAACTTTGGTACTATAAAAAAGAAGATTCACCGTCACATCAAACTTGCGGTACATATATGGAGTACTAAATATTTACGAAATCAAAAACTAATTGTACAGTTTGGTTGTACTTTGCGAGACGAACGTTTTGAGCCTAATTAGTCAACGATTGGACAATTATTACCAAATACAAACGAAATGCTACAGGGACACTACAATGTCGCACAGTGATTTTGCCACTGCCGATTCCGGGCAACTAAACGAGGCCTAAATTAGAAAATCGTCACTCATAGTGACGAACAATAAACTTGGAAAATTACTCCCTGTATATACAATTTAGGGTTGTTAACCCCCAACCTGTCATTTGACCGGGAATCACATGACCCCTTCTTCCTCACCATCCATGTCCTCACCACCACTCGGCAGCCTACCTTGCGGGCCCTTCCCCTGCCACCAGCAGCACGCGACGGTTCCATCACCTCATCGTGGCCTCGACTCTTGCTTTCACAGCCTCGACCCTACCCATCCCTAACCACTCACGATGCACATGCACCTATCACTCACCGTCCTCTTGCCTTCAGCGATGATCTCGTCGCACCGTCGGGCCACGTCACACCACAATGTCATGGCGACTTTCCCCAAACCTTCCTCTATAGCCATCGATGACCGGATTCCCCTCTGAACCCTATAACCTAACCCCTGACCCTAATCCGACGCCTGACTCTTCTTATTCTTTGTTGAGATGGGCGGAAGTTAGGGTTGCCCAAGCGTGTGATGGAGTTCACGATACAATTTAGTAACTAGTAAGAAAACGAATATTTGTTTCAAGAAGAAAATGGATGCATCATGGAATAGTATATTTGTACTTACAGTGTCCATCGAAGCTTCTTGAAGACGACTACTATGACATTACAAAGCATGTTCAAATCGGCGAGCAGTTTTGCCTTGATATGGCTCATCAATGGCCGAGATGAGTCACGAGGAAAGATGTAACAGGATAGTTCACCAAAACTACAGAGAGCGACGGTGTGGAGGTACGAACAACAAGCACATCTAGGAGTCTATGTTATTGCTGATAGAGATGATAAAGAACCTTAAGGTGCTAGCAATCGTATGTTAGGTTCTATTTAGAGTGGGTCTAGGGAATCGCACGGATGACACGTAATAACTATGAGGCTCCAAGTGGACAAACATTTGTCGTCATACAATACCACTCGTACCACAGATTTAAAAATGTTTCATCATACTATCCGTAGCTTTAAATGCTCCTGTAGATTCCATATGTTTTCTTGTGTGGAATCATCATGGCAGTTCAAGATAGTAACAATGACATGTTAGGTATTTAGAGCGGTATTAGGGGATCTCATGACACGTAATACTTTTGGACCTCCAAGTGGCATAAGAACATACATGCAACAATCATTTGTCGTCTTGTAGTTCCACTCACATCATAGCTGTAACAACTATACTATCTATAGCATTAAGGCCCGTTTGATCCGTAGAATTGAATTAATTCTAATAATCATAATTTAGGCATAGATTAATTAAGCTAATATAGTTGTATATGAAATATATTTGTATATTTATTATTAGGCATACAAGAGACATAATTATATGCTGCATTTCTATTGTACGGAAGTGGGTTGAAGAGTGTGTTGTAAGTTGGAGAATAAAATTATAACACGGTGATCTATAAAATCTATTTCCATCTCCCACCCTATGAATTTGAGGTAGGCTTATTTGTGAGCTTGGAAAGTTGTAGAATGTCAAATTCTAAGCCAAATAGCCTAATCCATTACGTAGATTTTAATTCCTCCAAAATAAAGGGATCCAAACGGCCCCTAAATAATATTCCATATTCCATACGATCCTTTGAGTTACCATGGCACTTCAATGAAGACAACTTAAGTAAAATTGTCATTAAAATGAGTTAGATAGCATGTAAGTAAAAAAAACCTTTACATTAAACAAATAATATTTCCTTGCATATACATGTGGTCTAAGTTGGTCCTAGCAAAATGAGAAACCAGGTAAGAGAAAATGAGTGAAATTGCATATATTCTATGTCACATGGCTTAGTATGATCACAAAGTAAGTGTTATTTGCCTTTTTCTGCCATTTCATCGTAGATGCCTTCAATATGCCTAATGATGGTACGTCATCTATAAAAAAAAGACTACATGAGGGCGCCAAGTGGACTCGAGCTATGGTTTTCAACCCGATACAACAACTAGGTTGTGCTATGATATTTGACCCAAATCTCAACTCAAATACGAAAAGCCAAGTCAACAACGTCCGCCATGCGAGCTCGAGATATGATGTTAGGCTTAGGCCCACGAAAAGATAAACTGATTCGGTGACCCAACTGACTCTAAGCATGGTGATATTTGATAAAGTATAGCCCCCACAGTACAAAACATATTGCCCAAACGTACATAGATTGAGAGTTAATATAGGTAATTGTTGGATTGGGGGTTTTCCCATCATGCCAAAAATAAGATTGGGGTGGTTTTACTAAACTAGGCCATGTTTAGATTACAAAAAATTTCAACTCGATGAATAGTAGCACTTTCGTCTTATTTGGTAAATATTGTCCAATCGTGGACCAACTAAGCTCAAAAGATTCATCTCATGATTTCCAACTAAACTGTGCAATTAGTTATTTTTTTTACCTATATTTAATGCTTCATGCAAACGGCTAAAAATTAATGTGATGGAGAGAGAGTGAAAAAACTTGAAATTTGGAGGTGATCTAAACAAGGCCCTATTGGAGATGTTCTAACAGTAACTAACAATTTAAAATGAATGATCTATAGCTAATAAAAAGTTATTAATAGACTTCTCCAAGCTAATTACTACTAACTATTAGAAGAAATCAAACGGGCTCAAATCATAGATTTGCTAATTGCCCTGCTACTATAAAACTATTAACTGGCTTTCCTCTGTAGCTACT